CAAGTGCTTGTCGTTAAGATAACACTTGTTTGCCATAGCACTGTGATATAACTACTATAAATTATGAGGATATCTCAAACGTGTCCATGTGTATTTTGGCTTCCTAGGCATCATTTTACTTGTACCTTGCGTTATTCTGGTGTGTTCGCAGCCTAGTTTACCATCTTGTAAACCAATAAAAGGTTAAATTTACAAATGTTCTTATTCTATACTATCAATCGTTCATCTGGTTTCAGTTATCGGTTTGTTATGTATCTGGTTGTATTTCAGACTTGGTACTGTGTTAACACATCAGTATGTATAATTTCAACCCATTGATGTCGATCAGTTAAATATACTCATTTCAAAGGTGCTTATTCCAAAATGTGTCTACTACAGCGGCGAAGTGATAATTGTTTAGTGTGAAGATTGTCGAGTTCTACCAACTTGACCACTAGTTCATTCAGGTTCCATCGCGGCATTTATGTTTAGTAGTGGATTCTTGTAAAAAGCAGCAAATAACAAACCTAAAGATTGGTATTTTAAGCTATTGAGGTGTGGCGACTGACATGACTTTGACACATGAAGGTCAATAACTTTTTATCTAAACATCCAAGCCGTAAGCTAGGTTGTGTTCATGGGATCATTATTTCCAGTTAAAGACCTCGAAAGTGTCTAAAAAGGTACTGATCCACAGCAAATTTGAAGTTTCTAAGTGTTTCGGGCCATTTCCTCCCCTAAAAAGTTTTAATAAGATTACCCTCTTGAGTCTAGGACTGTTAGTTTTAAATATAAAGCAGAAATATAGTTGGCCGACAATGCAGCAAGTAGAAATGAAGTAATCTGAATGTAACATGACGGTTTTGAACTGTGATTTTTATCCAAATTACATTACTCTGATTCCTCTATTTTTCCATAGGAATGTTTGGAAATCCGTACTTCCATTTTGGGTCAAAAAGATCGTCGTGTAGCTGAAAGCCATTACCAACTGGGAACGACGTATGCCGTTTCTGGAGATTTAGCAAACGCAAGCAGCTCTTTCAAAGCCTCAGTTGAGTGTCTCAAGTTGTTGGCTGAAGATATCAGGTCAAAAATCGAAGCTGTTGACCAGAAAGATGAAGAAGAGAAAGAGCTTCTCCAAGTTACACTTAAAGAGATAGAACTTTTGATACCAGACGTTCAGAGTCGGTGTGCGGATATTGAGGAAGACCGATTAGCTGAAAGCATTAAACAAACCGAGTCTCCAATGGAACCATGCTCTAATGGTACTAGTGTCTCAACTGATGACATATCACACTTGATAAGGAAAAAACGTCCTGTTACTGAAACGACACCTGTGGAGCCTGTAGAAAGTATAAGTCTTGAATTAAATGGTCATGAAAACTCAACTTCCAAGAAAGTGAAGCTTATAAATGCGAATGGTGAATCCGTGCCTAAAGAAAATGGTGTTTAGTTAATTGATATGTGCCGATAGATTAAAAACCGATTCCAAAGAATTGCATTTCATTTTTACAGATTTTGTCAGAAATTTTTGTCTATCGTTTTTAAATAATTTATCTGCAGATTACTTATTCCAAAAATAAAGTTCATGTATTCCCTTTGATGTATTATCTTTCTACCAAGCTAAACGAGTGGTTGAAAATTTTTAAAAGTTATAGGTATAAACCGAGCAGACGAATTTATAACCGATTGTCACGTTTCATCATCCCCCTTTTTCCATACAAACTACCCTCCTCAACCAATTAATATCTTAAGAACTGTTGCTTTCTGTTAATGGTGTAAAGCGTAGGAAGGAATCCTAAAGTCTGAAGGACATGTTAGGACTTTATGATAATCTGATCCAACTTCAAAGTTTGGCAGATCACAGCAAACTAACTCCGGAGATTGAGATGTCTGTCGGGTCCGCATTCCAAATCAAATTGGACAGTCTCATTACTGAAGTTTTAGGTGCCTAAGTCTATACGATCAAATGCTGTGGCGAAAGTACTTGAGCCAGCTGTATATTAGCGATTTCGTAAGCCACTTTGGTTGTGGTTCTCACTACTGGTTGTTCAACTCGGCCTCGTTTGAAGTAGGGATATATTTTGAACCTCAAGACAGTAAAGTATTTGGAGTCAATTCAAAAACGGGCCTCAAGGTTATTTCGTCAACTAGGGTTCAAATCTTATGAGCGACCACGGGGGTTACCATACATTCCTTGTAGTTACAGCACTATAAGGACATCTGGGTAGCTGAACTACTTGGGTTAAGTTTTGGCGAAAGCCATGGAAGCGATACCCGTAAGTTTGGAGTGACAGTTTACAACCGGGAGTTTTTTCTGATTGCACATGCGAGCCCTTACTCGTGTTTCCGCAGGTACCTGTCGCCAAATGTAAATTTAATCTGGCTAAGTATTCTAGTCATTAGAAGGGGAGATCGTTGGACGGTAGTGAACTACTAGAGGATCTGATGAACGTGTTGGCAGATACAGACAACTTGAAGCTGAAGAGAACCAATAAACTATCCTGCAGGACATAAAGATCAATATACACAAGGCTAATATGAACACCTATCTCGGTAACCGAGTTTCCTATTCACCTAAAAGTCACGTCCTATTCTGAATAGAAGTTGGATTATTTAAAGCTTCAGTTGTTACAATCGTGCGTGTATTACGCGAAAAACTTTGGGAGTGATATCCATATTTCAGGAAGATATTACATGAGCCCTGTTACAAATCCGTCGCGTTTATGGACCTTTCAAGAAGCTTGTTAATCATTAATAAGGCGTTGTATAAATAATATAAAAGGAGATACTTGGAAGTACATGATATTAACATTTAAATTTAATTGATTCTTATTACATTTCAGAAAGGTTAGGTTGATATGACCAAGTGTTTTGTATTTGATTAAGATAATCCATTTATCAGTTCAAGAAATTAACAAGTATCATTTGTTATTCCGAGCGACTATTGCTTTTTTCTTTAAAAATTATTTATTTTAGACTCTTCACTACATAATATTTATTTCACTGGCAACATCCTACCTTATTCTGTAGTTTCACAACACTAAGCAAGTTACCCATCACTGCAGTGAAAAGCCATTACGTAATTTATTTTTTAACAAATACTTCAAGGTTACAATTGAGACTACACATTATTTTACATACAATGATAGGAAATTCCCAGGTTAGGTATTTCTACCTATAGATCATACTTTTTATCCTACTCTAATCTGATCACAAATAAATAGCTGGTTTAACTCCCTAAACAAGATGTTGTGATGAGTTAAATTAATGGTTGAATTTGTCACGTCCTGATATAAATTTGTTTAAGTAATACTTATTAATTTCACATGATATCTATTTCCTAACTCCTCATACACTTTTTTATCATCTATTGCCTAGTAATATTCTTTTTTAGTAGAAATAGATTTTGCTAATTCTGTAAGCTTAATTTTAGAAGTATTATGTCTGCAGAATAACTGTCTACTTGTTACCAACGTATAGTCTGTAAGTCTAGCTCATAATACTGACTATATATTGGTTATATTATATACATGATGAAATAATTAATTTGATGAAACCACCGATTTAACTTAAATATTAGAAATGGTAATTTTTTAACTACTAGGAAATAGGATTGGATATATTACAACTCAATTAACAATGCTGATTATACACAAAATCACCGATCAAAATGTCTCTAATCAGATTACGAATGATTAATCATCATAATAATTGAAGGTTATAAACTAACCAATCATACATCTCAGTCTACTGTATCATTTGTGACTGTATTTATTGCGAAGTAACCTAGAAAATTCATTTGTTTTCTCATTTAGTTCATATAAATTACTAAAAAGAGTTGCCAGGTGATTGATCCCAACCAGTAGGACGCTTCGTATTCCGGTTTTATGTTGATCGGCAAGACATGTCTCTAATCCTCCGGAATTTGGTGTTCCCAGTGGGATAAAGTCTGAGTTATCCATTAGGATTATCAGTCTCCTCGGCAATGAAGTGATGCCGTAGTAATGAGTGCCAGCTAGTAGGAAATCTCAGCCAGTCAGCTACAACGTAGGACCAGGCACATGTGTGCATCGGTCCAAGTTGCCACACCTCATTAGCACAGCAAGATGAACAATGGATTCATAGAAGTAATTAATTTAGTAGTGGTAATATATAAAAGAAAGAGTGCAATAAGGATATAGTACAGGAAGAAATAATTAGTTCGTAGAAAGAAAGATATGAAATAATTTTAATCTTATAGTTTAAGGGAAGACAGAGTGTGTATACACCTACGCCATTGTGATCGATTCTGAGCCATGTCACCCAGTCTCCAACAATTGGTTAGTCCTGAGGACCTCAAACAAGTAGTCTTCATCTACCAACATGGCTTAGACTAGAAGTTAGTGACTTCAAGCACTAATGCCACGTTTTGGTTTGGCCTCCCCTAACTTTCTTCTATCCGTCTTCAACACTAGTCAGCATGGCGGGTTGTGGTACTCGGGGTTTAGGCATACGCAACACGTGGCCCAACCATCTCAGTCGATGAGGATTCACAACTTCATCAACTGATTTACCATCATTCCCTAATACCCTACGTCTAAGTGATCAACAAAAAGTTTAGTTACCAATATAGAATACACGAACTATGTTAGTACTACATTAATCAATGTGAAAGTCCGATTGTTTGCTAACCAGCATATTTACATTTATAAAGTGAATACTTTAATAAACATAATACTGTTCATCACAGTTGGTGTTGATAATAGTAACAAATATATTCATACTTTATAATAAATGAACTAGCTACCTAAGTAATAATAATCAGTGGAATTATTTCAGATTTTAGGATACTTCAAAAGAAAAAACTTTTGACAATATCTTATTGTATATTGATGTTATCAGTTCATTAAATAGAAGAAGTATTTATATATTTGGAATCTACAACAAAATTTCTAGTAAATATATACCCAGTGAAAAGTGAGTAGTGATTTTCTTTCCTAGCTTGCAAATTTTCATCAATCCTCACCTAAAATCCTATACAGAATCATAATAAAATATTATGAATTAATATTATTTACGCTGAAATTGTATACATTTCCTACACTAATCATCTTAGTAAACATTAATTGCTATGTATCACAGTAATAATACCTCTTTAGATTTTCACTTATTCCTCAAACTAGTTTATTGAAAAACCAATTAAGTACAATATATACATACTTCGATTGTTACATGGAATAAAATGTTTATTTCACAGTACATTATGGATTTACATCTTATATCCGGTTAGTAATATAATGAAATATTCGATTATTAATAACAGCTACTTATAATATTCAAAATTGATGTAAACTATTCATTCAACCTATACACCCCTTTGTTGTTGTTGGTGTGCATAACACTCGTTAGATATTAAAATACTACATATCTAGAATTAGTTCCTTGAAAAAAACACTTATAAAAGAGTCATAGACAGATGTATTTAATATTGGTATACAACTATTATAGTTATTCATTATTAAGTTGTGATAAAATGAAGAGATTATTCCAAAATTTGTTATTATGCATATTATACTGTATGTATTTAAATTTCTGTTATGCTGATTCACATGGTGAAAAATTGAGTAAATCTGAGTTTGATATATGTGTTCAAGAATGTGGTAATCAATATGAAGAATGTTCAAAAGCAATACGTGAATTATGGAGAAATTTTCAAAAAAATAAAAAACAAATTATGAAAGTTATGAATAGTTGTTGTTTACGTGGTCAAGGTGATCATTCACAACCATCAACATTAAGTTTTGCTACATGTGTACGTGATAGATGTGGTGCAGAATTATGGGGGTAAGTGATTAAAATGATTCTTTTTTCCATATTTTACAAACATGTTCAAATAAAGGAATCAATTTTATTGGTTTCATTATATGTTATAGTCTATTACACATTGTTATTCACTTGTAATGCTATAATCAATTTATCTCTTTTTATTCAAGTTTACTTATATGATCCAATTATAAAATAGATTTCTTTCACTCAGTTAGTGTCTATTTCAGTAACATTTTCATCATCATTTGACTTTAATAGTAAAATTAATGTGGTTAAATGAAATTTATATTGGTGCTATAAATGTTCATAATAGCTGTCGATGAAAGTAATACAAGCTACATTAAAAAGTATGCCATAGTCTTAATCTAGAGCAGTGTTATTATTTTTTAATAGTTTTGGGGAAGGAAGTTTCAATAAATTGCTTCTAAAATCAAAGTATCCTGTTTCATATAGGTAATCTTGGTATCCATAAGAATCAGATTGTTCAAACAATTAATAGAAACACAGAGATACTAAATAAGATTATTATTATTTTTATAGCAATGTAAGAGTGTTAACCAAAACTAAGTGTTTAATTATGAATAAAAGTATGTTCTAATATTATGCTTTAAACGTACGTAGGTTTTCTTTTTAATGTAAGTGAATGGAATATCAAGGCAGCCGCTCCATCATACACTAATAATTTCAGTCATGGTTATGAATAAAGTAGAAGTTCGCACTCTTATAATTTATGAGTCCTCAAAAGGATGAAATGATTTTCAGCATTATTATGACTTCGTTATTATAGTATTTGTAATATCAAGCGTTTTGTTAGAATTTCGTTCTCTGAATTGGGTGGTCTAATTCTGAAATAATCGTTGCTTTCTGAAGGATGATGTCAGCACAAATGTCAAATAGAAAGCATATGACTGTTTACATGGAACCAAGAAGAAGTAAGGGAATAATCCGCTGCTTATACGAAAGCTATAGTAGTCATTATGAAGTAAGAATATAGGAGAGCTCATAATTAGTATTGTTTTATTGTGACTAATATCTATTAGATATATTCATAGAACGCGTAAATTTATGTGAGAAATTTAGATAAACTATTTTAAAATGTTTCTTATTCATTTCAATAAATTTTGAATTCATTGCCATTTATTATCTGCATATTTAAGCGTAATGATAATTGTAAGAAGAAACATTTAGCCAGAATAAAAATTAATTTTATGAACAATCTAGTTTAATAAATATCAGCCACTCACTAGTAACTTCTCTTGCTAAGAAATTTCTAAACTTTATAGTTCAAAATAATGAGTTATGGCTTTAAACAAGGAAAACTTATCGGGTATTGGTGACCATCGATGATACTAGATGATAATCTTTCTCTATCACTAATAGATTGGAAAGTGATGACTGTTCAGTAGCTATCCGATGGTGTCTTTATAGAGAGATAGGAATATAATTTGGTTACAACTTTGTGTCAGGTTAAGCTGTTGATAAGGTTCAAGTCAGGATAAAAGCAACTGGCTAACATACCATACTTTTTGTATTATTCTTGTTGATTTCTGTCTGTTTATATCCTGATACTACTAATATCTTAAGGTGCTAACTTTTATATCAAAACCAGATATTTCGATGATAGCCTGAATATTAGTTCCAATTAATACAATCCTGAAAGGCGACAAATATTAAAAACGGAATGTTTCGATACAGAAAACTGATCAAATTAATTATGTAATAAGTAGTCTGTATGGCTAAAAAGTCTTTGAGATACAATCAGTCTTTAATTATGTTACTTTCAGAAATGAATGACTTCAAAAACTTAATCAGTAGCCAAAGTCTGCTTTCTTACCACAATAAATATCTGAATCATATTTTTTAATTTTAAAACCATTTGAAGATTTTCACTATTTCATGAACAAGGTTTGGTTGGATTTATATAGTGGTTTAAATACTTTGTTTGTTCTAATTTTTCAAAGTATAGAAAATGTTGTATCATAACAAAACGTTTTGAATGTTTTACTCCACCAGTGAATTAGTGAAAAAGTCAGTCATCAAATTACCATGACTGCAGAACATAGATAAGTGAAACTATTCATTTCGAACACAATTATCTTAGATTTTTACTTAGTTACTAGTATTTTAAATAATTTAATAAATTGTTCAGTGAATAAGCGAATCTTGATACGATTGATATAAACACCTTGGGTACTGGCTAAGAGTAAAATCTTTATTGAGGCTCAGTAATTATATATATCTACATCTTGATCTTGTCCTCACTTGAAAAACAAATCCAGTAAACATCAACTGAAATTCTAGTGTGTTATTCATTGGATTATTAAGTCAGCAAGCTATCACTTGTTCAATGAGCATGATATATTTACATATTATTCATTAAAAGCTGTCCATTATTCTATTGTGGATATTCAAAAGTTTAATAGTGAATTTCCTCTTAGAAAACCGGGTAATATATCAAGCAGCCAATTTATAAACAAAGATTGACTACATAGATTCTGAATGTAAGCTAATGATAATCATAATCATAAAAATTATAAGTAATCTATTACTATTCTATAAAAATGAATAAATGGATAGATAAATGGAAGAAACTTTTGTGAAACCATGAGAAATATACATCATTATTCAAAGCATATAGCAAAAACACATGTCATTTCTTGTTTCATTAGATATTGCTCTGACAGAGTGTATTCATAACTCAACATATGGTCAAATTTCGAACCGACAGGTTTCTCAGCCAGAACGTTACCTTTATATCAGTGAGTTAGGAAACAATAGCTTACTTTTTCAACTTCAATTAATTCGCGATAGTGTAAGACAATCATCTAATGATATTGGTGATATATATCTCATGGTTGGATTCAAGTTTCTTGATTTTAAAGGGTCCCCTTGTCTGCAATGAAATTTATCTTCAAGTAACAATTCTGGATGCCTCACAGAGCAGACAGAAAAAAAAGATATTTTAACTACACAAAAATATCTCTTAAGGTAGTAAGTTTAAACTTATATAGTTCTTGAGAAAGTGTCCAGGCATACTTTCGATAAATAAGTGGGAGAATTCTGGTTAGGAAATGAGCTGAAACTTTCTATGGTATGGATCTACAAATGTTACAATGATACTTTGAATTGTGATATTAATGTGATGGATAAGCTTGTTGTTCATCGTTAGCATGATGACAAAGATTAATCGAAACTATGAATTTGGATAAAAAATCTCAACTTAGTGGTCAGAATATGTTGTGCTTGCTACAAGACCCAATAGTCGCAGGTTCAATACTTTGTAGTGTTATGGGCGATAAATTATAATTATGATAAATAATACCTCAAAACGATTGTTTGATAACATGATTTTGAAAAAATCAGATTACATTCTGATATGAAGGCCTTACTGAGATCAGCTTGATTTGTCGCTGACTGACCTTAATTAAGATACAATTGAAAACCATGAAGTACTAGATAGTCGTTTCGTCGTAGTATGGTGTTCTTCAATAGTGCACACACATAACCTGAATAGAACGAGAAACCAACTATTAGATTGGCATCCTGTGGTAAACATTCCAAACCATGATTAATTTGTAATATATTGGACCATCATCTAATAACATTAGTGAAGACTCCACTCTCGATATCTCCAATCTACAGAGGTCAGGACTTTATGCTAGAACTTCACTGACTCATCCCAAAGTAAGTCGTTGGACAGCTTACGAATATCTTATTGATGTGAGGATTCCTTGGGAACTAATTTAATTCGTAAGTATTAAGGTTGGACCGACGATAAAAGATTAATAATAATTCCTAGTTTTTAATAGTAACTAGACTATGCTTAATGGGTGACGAGTACTACTTAAAGAATAAAGAAAAACTAACCAAATCCAATTCTTTATCTCTCTCTCTCTCAAATAACGATTGTGCAAGATTTCAGATTATAATATTTTTACTACTATTTCGTCATCTCTTTTCGATAGATGTAACATTAAGAAACGTCATAGTGGCTTTCTAACTGAACAAGAAATTGAATATATCAAACAAAAAGAATCCCGCCAAAAAAAGAAAAATTTCACAGTAAAGTAAAAGAATTCTCAAATAGAAAAAAAAGCAATATATAATGACTTTCAGTTAATAAACACATTCTAATTGTAACTGTAATATTTCTATTTTTCAATTACAATATTATTTGATGCATAAATTCACAGAAAATATGTATTTACTTTAGCATTAAATGAAAATAGAAAACTGTTATCATTTCTATTTTTTACTAACCGTTAATGTCGCCTATTTTCTTGTTAGTTACATGTAAGTGTTTCGTCACGAAAGCCTTGTGAATAACCCATTTCAATCAACATATTATGTATGAACAGAAACTAGAAGAGTTAGAGTCAACAATCCAAGTCTTTGTTTTCATAAGAAATTTATAACATCTTTATCTCTGCCTTGGCCTTAATAAATGATTTTATTTCTATTTTAACGGCAAGAATATAATTTATAGACGAACGAATCAGATTTAGGATAACAGGTCTTGGATTTTGGCGCGAAATTCATTCACCCATTCGTCTGAATAGTGTCTTGGCATTTTAGTTGATGTCGGTTCGCGATAAAAACCATAAACGTAATTCTTAACTTTAATCATCAACTGTAAACCATTGTCTCTATTCTACTAACTGTTTTAAAACCTTCATTTAGCCCCATTAAGTAGGTAGACACTCTCAAGGTCCCTTTGGCGTCACTCAAAGGTCGTCTACAAATTAGTCTCATCGAATTTTCTAGCGCAATGTAAAATGTTGAATATATAACTTTATCTAAATTATCAGATAATACTATCTATACATATGTCAAATTCATTATCTAAAACCTAGTAATGGGGATTATGGAAGAAATATTTATGTATTATTAGTTTGAGTTTGTAATATACTTACTTATTTATTTGAACACATAAATATTGGTACAAGAGAGCTCCAATATATATGCGCCACACAAAACAATGAGAATTCGAATATAAAGAAAATAAAGGTAAGGAGCGCAAAAAAAGAGAAGAGGCTGATGTAAGGTAGTGTAATAATAATAATAGTAATAATGAGGGAACGGAAAAATACAATCAGAAGAAATCTTTCAGGTAAGGGAGACACAACCACTTTTTATGAAGAAAGTAAAAGAAGGTTACAGCAGGATAGCCACCGGATTCTATTTTGAGACATATTTGATAACGTCTCTAGCCACTGTGTAGCACCATCTCTCGGACCCCAACCAGGGAGTCGTGAAGGACCAACAGAAGCCAGTCCTTTGCAGCTTTCTTTCATACCGCGACACCATGTCATGCACTGACCATCTCTCCGCTTCTTCCAACCAGTCCCAGAGTCGGCAAATAATGCACGACGTGGAATTCTCTGGGACGACATTCGGAGAACAAATCCAAACCACCGAAGTCGGTGTTTCAAGATGGTGACACCAATTGAATTGTCGTCTCTGTGCCCGAACACACGATGCCGAATCTCTGCATTACCGACATGGTATTGCCACTGGATGTCAGCAATCCTTCGGAGACAGCGATGATCGAACACAGAGAGTCGTCTAACGTCCTCAACTCGGAGAGGCCAGGTTTCACAAGCATAGAGCAGAACTGCTCTCACCGACGCGTTGTAGATCCGACCTTTCACAGCCAGACTAACATCACGAAGGCGCCAAAGGTGGCCCAGATTGGCATAAGCCACTCTGGCTTTCACCATACACGCACTGATCTCATCACTCACATCCCCACCAGCACTTATGCAGCTACCCAGATACACGAACTTCTCGACTACGTCTATCTGCTCACCATCCAGGGTGAGGACAGGATTGGAATCCTGCCAGTCTTGTAGAAGTACTTTGCACTTCGAAGGTGCAAAGCACATACCATACCTACGGACACTGATTGCCAACTGATTAAGTGCGGATTGCATGCCTTGGGCATTATCGCACAGTAAGACAATATCATCAGCATACTCAAGGTCGAGAAGTCTTTCTCCAGACAACAGATGCACACCACCATTACTTACATCCATCACAGCTGTTTCCAGAATGTCATCGATGGCAAAGTTGAAGAGGAATGATGAGATTGGGCAACCCTGCCTAACCCCACTACTCGAATGGAACAATGGAGAGGGGTGGTTGTATGCTCTCACTCTGCCTGAGGTGTTTGTATATAGGGCTTTTAGGATGTTAATAAACTTCTCAGGCACACCCTTCTTCAATAGACAATCCCAGAGAACAGTCCTATCCAACGAATCGAAGGCAGCCCTGATGTCAATCAGCACTACGATTGTTGGCCTGTGATAAGTATGACGGTGTTCTAACATTTGGCGAAGGGTGAAGATATGATCAATACATCCTCGACCCGAACGAAACCCAGCCTGCTCCTCGCGAGTCAATCTTTCTCAGGTTTTGAACAACCTACGAAGTATGACGGAAGCCAATAGCTTAGACGCGATCGGAAGTAGACTTATCCCCGATAGTTGTTACAGGAACGACGTGAACCCGTTTTGAAGATAGGGACAACTATCGACTTATTCCATGACGTTGGTACACTCTCTAGTTCCCAAACCTTTGTAAACAACGTCGTCAATTCCTTAGTCAAAAAGTCACCACCATCTTTAAAAAGAGCCGGAGATAAGTCATCTGGGCCAGGTGATTTGTAACGCTTCAAGAGTTGGAGTTCCTTGCGGACTTCCTCCTCGTTTAGTGGACCAGTCGTCACCGGCCGTGGAGGGCAGGACAGTCTGACCGATGTTGCCGGAGCAGCAGGCCAGTTGAACTGCCCTTCGAAAAATTCTGCCCATCGTCCAAGACGTCGATGGATGTTAGTGATTGGCATCCCATCATCCTCGCAGATTGTTTCACTCACACCAGACTTCTTGCTGCTAGTGGCTCGAATGAGTTGGAAGGGCTTCCGGCAGTTACCAGATGCAGCTGCTGCTTCCAGTTCATAAGCACGCTCCGACCACCAGGCCTCTCGGTCCTTACGCAAGCTTTGCCCAATTTCATTACGTAACAGTCGTCGTTTGTGGTCAAACGCACAGTCACCCGGAGTAGACCGACGGGCTTCGATTAGTTATAAGGAGCCTGAAGAAACCCAGTGATTATAAGCGGGAAGTTTCGCGAACCCACAACTGACTGTACCCGCCATTTTCATGGCGTCATGCAATTGTGACCAATGCTCATCTATACTTTTCGGTGGAACGGTAGCTAGCCTAGCAGCTAGCTCGGTTCGATACTTACTTGCAACAGAAGTTGCAACCAACTTGCTGACATTAAGCCTTTGGTGGCCATCACTTCGTTGTCCACTGAAAAGTAAGGTAAGATTGGCGCAGACCAATGCATGGTCAGAGTCCAGATAGGTACTCCAAAAGGAGCGGCAGTCTTGTACACAACCACGCCAGCGGTAGCTGATCACGATGTGATCAATCTGAGTCCAGGCTTGAGATGCAGAAGGAGGACGCCAGGTGGCACATCGGCGATGACTGTGCCGAAAGTTAGTGCTAGCCAGAAACAGGTTGTGGTCTGTGGAAAGTTGCAGTAGACGGTCCGCGTTATCTGACCTGTGACCAACAAGTCCTCATCGGTCACCTAAACGACTCTCTTCTGTGCCTAGACGCTCGACCTGAGCATTCAAGTCACCGGCTAGTACTACAATATCTGTCGAACGCACTTTCTGAAGAAGAACAGATAACTGGTGGTAAAACTCATCCTTGATTGCATCCGCGCTGCAATCTGTCGGGGCATGTAATATACTTAAGAAAAGTACGTCTAAATTTAAGCTACGATTGGATTCTGTCGACAGGAAATCAGTAAAATTGGAATTTCACAAAAGTTGTTTAATAAATATACTAATTATCAATTAAAACAATTTCAAGATGGTGATTGAAAATGGTATAGTAATCTGAAGTGTTTAATCAAATCACGTTCATCCACTAATACAATATGACAAATGTGTTCAGTTAAATAATATACTAGAAAATTGTATTCATTATAAGATGACTGAAGATAGCTATCATAAAGCTATACGCCTTAACTAACTAATCATTGATAACATTTAGTGACAACTCTTTTAAACTCATGGAGTTCAATGGTTTTAGTGTATAGCTAGCAGCTCCAACGCTTAACGAGGGAACAACGTATAATTATTTCTTAGTTTGAGTTCACAGTATGCTTTGTAAGGTTTGAAGTTCACGGTTTACAGACTTCAAAAAAACTTTAACCATTGTTTATTATTAATCTGTAACGCCAAGTAAACGCTTGTTTTTTTTTAAAAAAAGAAACATGTTACAATCAACAAAGTGCTACAAAGTGAACTATCTGTTTTATTCTAAAACTACTTGCGAAACGTATATTACAAGAAAAGAACAACAAACGTTACTTTTATCATTAGTTTTATCTAAATAATTATGAAAATAAGCAAGCATTTGAAAAAAATGTAAACACACATTTATTTATACAGAATAGGCAGGAAATACAATCAGAATCAATTGTATGATAAGTTCTTTGAAGTCATTGAAATATTCCATGTCAGTCACTTTTCGTAGACTGATTACATATTACTACAACTGAAAGAAGAAGTGTACAATTACAAACTTATTTCTCTTCAAACAAAATAATGCTAAACATGGAATCGATAGAAAGAAGGTATAGTGTTTAATAGATGATTCGTGAAGACGTTATAATATTAGTACTATAACACATATTTAATTAGCCCATTGATCGATCGAGAAGCAGATGGGACCAGTAAAAGCGTGTATTATGAGAAAAGTACAAAGAGTAGACGTTAATATCACAATATAGATATGTACTATATCAAATATGTTTGTCTATACTCATTGGTCAACTACAAGCTAATCAGGATGGACAAAATAAAAAAGACTTGTTCAAACTGAAGATAATGGTTCTTGTTTTTAAACTGATATCAACTAAAGAAACATTGTTAATCATGATTGTTATGAATCAAGTAGTTTCATACTATGAACCGATCAATCTTCTATATTTAATTAAAAGTTTGTTTTAATCTGCTTACTTATTAATTAATGCTAAATAGTGTAAAAAATCTCATTCTAAAAGTTGGTTGGCAAAACAAGTAACTTATGGTTTATTAAATTATACAAATGCAGATGTAATTAACACAAGAATAGAGTTAAAGATGACATAGATCTACAACTATTAGTAATGAACATCAAGTACTTAAAACCTTTTATTACTTCTGATTTTACATATTATAACACTGAGATAGTATTTTCACATCGAAATAGTTTTCCCTATTGTCATACGAATTCGTTAGACAAAAAAATTATAATGCAAGTTTACGGTTAAGATTATTTATATATATGTACATTCTAGAGCTCCGCATGTAGCCATTCAAAGGATACTGCGGGTTTTAGGCCTAGATAAAAGAGGGAGATTGAGCATGAAGTTAGCAACCCCATCCCATATAAGAAAAATTTGCTAAAAATATGTTAAAAAGAAAACAATCAAACCATTTAAAATAAGCCTTGGGAGTTGGAGAATCTTCATTTAGAATAATGAAGCCTCATAGTGAAAGCCGAGATTCTTCGGAAATCACGAGGCCGATGCCACTTCTGACGATTACAGAATATACCAATATAGGTATATGGAATGTCCGAACAACATAGAAGATTGAGGGAACCAATCAAATAGCTACGGAAATGAGGATATACAAATTGGCTTCTGTAGAGGTACTACTGTACTTTGGTCATGAAGAGAACGCCTCACATACATAAGAAGTTGCTCTGACACTATCCAAAGAAGTACGAAAAGCACTTAAAGGATGGTAATCTCGTGGATTCAGAAACTTCAAAGCATTCTTCAAAACAAACAAGGACGGGATCACAACGAATTTCACGTAGCGATATGCACTCACCAGTGATGGACATGAAAACGATAAAAATGGGAGGGTGCAATCGATCAAAGAGAAGTGCCCAGGAAAAGACATGTCTGTCCGATGGGAGATCTAAACATCAAAGTTGGGATGGACAACAACGAGTATGAAGATGTCATGGGACGATATAGAGTGTGAGAAAGCAATGAGAATGTTGATATATATGTAAATTTATATGCCTTCGACAAATTGGTTATGAAAAACACTATCTTCCCTCACAAACTCACACATAAATTTACATCGGTAACACCGAATCACACTACAAGGAACCAGATAGACTACATCTGCATGAATAGAAACTTCAGAGGACCCATGGAGGACGTTAGGACAAGGAGAGGAGCAGAAGCAACCTCAGATCACCACCTGGTTGTGGGCAAGATTGAAATTAAACTAAAGAAGTAATGGACAACTGGACAAACAGCATTGCAAAAGTTTAATACAGTCTTCCTTCCAGATACTGACAAAGTCAACGAACTCAAGATAGCTCCCTGCAACAAGCTCTGAGTTTATAAGACCTACTCAAAGAAGAGGAAATTACTATAGAGAATAAGTGGAAGCGGACTAAACAAGCAATAACTTCAATTTGTCAGGAGGTTCTGTGTCGCAAGAAGCATCATCATAAGGAATGGATCTCTACCAAAACCTTGAACAGCATTCAAGAAAGGAAGAACAAAAAACAGCAATTAACGACAACCGAACAAGAACAGAGAAAGTCATGCACAAACCGAATTTACAGAGGCAAACAAGAGAGTGAAGAGGAGCATCAGAGCCGACAAGCGGAAATACATGTTAAACCTAGGGATGACAGAGGAAAAGGCTGCAAGAGAAGGAAATATGGGACATCTATACGGTACAACGAAGAACCCGGAAGGGAAATACAGCAAACTAGGGCGACCAGTTAGGAATAAAGAAAGCGAGTGTTATGATTTATCCCCCTGTCAACCATTACGTGACAAGATCGTTGATCAAAATACCGGCTTCTGTGAATTTTTCCCTGTGTTATACCAATGATACGTCACCCAGCACTAGCACCGTTGATTCAACTCTGAATCCTTATTGATCCTCAATATAGTAGTCTCTCGCCTAGCCTTGCCAGTTGAGTCCAGAACACAACGTCCACCTCCACTCTGAGAATAATATATTTCAAACATACTTAGTTTACATGCAAGCAGATCAGACCGCATCACACTATACAAAAATAAGACTGTGAATAAATTAAGAGTGGTAAATCGTATAATAGTAGATAATTAGTCAAATAAAAAATTGTGGTAAAGGGAATATATATATACCAGCTAAGGCATCGAAGTTACACATAGAAGTAACTGCAAAGATACTCCACATTTTATTCAGGTGGATTTGGGAAATAGAACAAGTGTCTACAGACTGGTAAGAAGGATACCTCATCAATATACCAAAGAAAGGTCTCAGCAACTGTGAGAAATACAGAAGCATCACATCACTAATAGTACCGGGGGAAAGTTCTCAACAGTGTTGTTGAACTGAATGAAAGATTAAGTAGACACCCAACTTCGTGATCGATAGGCTGACTTCCGTTAGGACTGATCGTGTACGGACCAAATAGCGACACTAAGGATCATTTTGAGCAATCAATTGAATGTAATTCCTCACCACACATCAAATCCCTTGATCATGAAAAGGTGTTCTACAGTGCGGATAGGAGAATATTATGAAACGTTTTTGGACATGATGGTGTACCTGACAAGACTGTCACAATCATAAGGACTTTTTATGAAGGACTGTACCGCGAAGTCCTGGATGAAGGGCGGCTCATAAATGTATTTCAAGTGAAAACCGGTGTTAGACAACGGTGTTTACTCTCACCCGTTCTTTTCCTTCTATTGGTCGGATGGATTATGAAGATCTCTATATCTGAGGGTTAGTATGCAATACCATGGACAGGTTGAATGCAGCTAGACGGTCTGGACTTCGCAGATGACCTAGATCGCCTATCCTACACAGAAGAACACATACAGATCGAGACAACCAGTGCAGCAGCGGCTTCTGCATCAGTAGGCCTCAACATATACAAGGGAAAAAGTAAGATTCTCAAATAAAACACGAAGAACACCAACGCAATCACACTTGGTGGAGAAACTCCAGAAGAGCTGGAAGCCTTCAAATACCTGGTCAGCATCATCGATAAACAAGAACGACCTTATGCAGATGTAAGGGAAATAATTGGAACGTCAAATGTAATGATCCCATATATTCTTTAATTGGAACATATGGGACTCATGTGGTGTTTGAATGGACTAATGATACCTTTGTACTGGTTGAATGTTTGATTTCGAATTCTAAATACAATACATTCGTTGGTGCCTGTGTCTTCTTAATTCAATTGCGTTAATCCTGGAATTCCTAATTCATACGACAATTAGAATACTATATTGGCGTCGTGGTGGAACCTGCAATGGAACGTTGGATATTCATTCAACTCCTGAAGCTATTGAGGATTATTTGGAAAGGTTCGAAATCTGGAGCATGACCAAAGAAGATGATGAGGATGTTAATATTGTGACACACTTCCTCACATTCATTGGGAGAGAAGCGTACAGCTTATTAAAAACTTTAGCATATCCAGAAAAACCTATTTCACTCCCTTATGCAACTCTTAAAGAGCTATTATTAAGTCATGTAAAATGCACCAGTTTTGAATGCCGTGAAAGGGCGAAGTTTCATAAGATGATTCGTCAAAATGACCAAAAGGCTCGGGAATTCATCCTTGAATTACAGAAACAAGCTGCCAAGTGTAATTTCGGTGATCAACTTCATGTGCAACCGAGAGGTCGATTAATTGCAGGAATTAACATACCGAGTTTGGAAAGAGAGCTGTTAAAAATGCCAAACTGTTCCTTTCAAGATGCTAGGACTGCGTGTATTAACTACGAAGCAGTGAATGAACTTGATACCCAGTCGATGAAGATTTCTGTTAATTTGCTTAGTTGTCATGATGAACTACAATCTCAGGGTCAATCAAATTTGTGTTCATTTAACAGTGATTCCTATTCTCGGGTAAATACGAAAGGTGTTTCAACGAGGAATTACAAAGCAAATCACAAAGGTGAGATGAAGTTTGGTAAATGTTTATCATGTGGAAAGTTTCATGCTCGCAATCCATGTGTATTTCGTAATGCTGAATGTTTTAAATGTGGTAAGGTAGGACACATTCAGTCAGTATGCAAAGCTATTGTCCATTTTGCTTCAAGCTGTACTAAATCTTGTAATTTAAATTTAAATAATTCGGATGTTTCTAATGATCATTTATCTTTATCAACGATTTCAAAAGACAGTGCAGAGTCATATGACAGTTCAGAGTTAGATGAAATCCAGAATTCTTGTGAGACAACAGTTCCTAATCAACCGATTTATCAGAATTCTCATGCTGTTGTACCAGGTATGACTTTTCCTAATGATTCACATATTTCTAATGAAATTACTTGCAATATTGAGGAAAATATGTTAAATGAACTTAATCATGATCGGAAACCTGATGTGGTTTGGATAGATGCTGGTTTTTCTAACGATCCTACACTCTGCACTGACAGTCCTAATGAATTTCATGAGAATATTTCAGAAGAATCAAATCCTGATGTCATATCATATATTACCTCTCCTCATAATGCATTCGATCCTTGTGAAAAACCTGCTCAATGCGAAGCACGAGTACTAAGTGTTCTCGAGTTTGATTACATTTCGGATGATTTCATATCAACTGCTGTTTACCCTTATCACAAAAACAGTTCTAATGTTTACTCTAAACAATGTGAGAAATATGTTTTAAATGAAGCCACATTATTCATAACCTGGGGATATAAAGATCCAACATTATTTCGTGGGGGAGGATAGTGTTGAAAAATCTATGGTTCGAATTCTAGATATTAATGATTTCATTACAAAACCGACATGCTGGTTGTATACAATTCCAGGTGAGTCTGTTCCGATTTCGTTTGTTAATTCCAATACTAATGAGCACTTTCTAGATACTACAAAGTTTTTATCTTATACAATGTCGGACAGACTCAGGATGAACTTAACAAGAAGACGTACAACCGATTACAAACACTTATACTTCTATTTAAGCTGTGGCGGATGTGGTGTTTGAATGGAATAATGATACCTTTGTACTGGTTGAATGTTTGATTTCGAATTCTAAATACAATACATTCGTTGGTGCCTGTGTCTTCTTAATTCAATTGCGTTAATCCTGGAATTCCTAATTCATACAACAATTAGAAAACTATAACTCAAAACAAATATCAGCCAATATCAAAGTTAGAATCGTCAATACGAACGTCAAAACAGTTATACTGTACGAAGTTGAAACTTGGAGAACTATTACGACCATCACCAAAAAGTACAAGTATTTGCAAACAGTTACCTACGCCAGACACTCAATATCCGTTAGCGAGATACCATCGTCAACAATCTACTATGGCAAAGAACAAACCAACTTCTAGCTGAAGAAGGAATTAAGGGAAGATGCCGAAGGAGGGTAAGACATACATGGTTTATATCATAAAACTGCATCACGAGGCGAGCTCTTACTTGGAATCCTGAAGGCGAAAGATAAAGAAGGCTCAGACACACATTGCTTCGGAAATTGGAGGCAGACGTAAAAAGAATTAATGTCAGTTGGAAACAACTGGAAAAGAAAGTCCAGGACAAAGTTGGATGGGGAATACTGGTGGGAGGCCTATGGTTCTGCACAAGGGGTAACAAGCGTAAGTAATTAAATCTTGATGGTGTACGAGACTAGAAATCGCTTTTAAATAGGTCTCATAGAATATAAGTTATGGTGTATGGAGTTCAATTCAAATGTGTAAACGTACTCTATCAGGAAAAGATAAACAATAACTTCGTCTTTGTTTTTATTACGATTTAAACATTAGGAAGTTGTAATGTTAGCTAATCGAAGACAGTGTAAAATCCGGTATGAATGAGAATCGATCGAAGTTGGTACATTCAAGATAAGTACACGGGTAAAGAAAATTAGCGAGGCGAGAGGTGAACGGGGTAACAACAATACTCACCAAAGTGAAAAGTTGATATTAAGAAAATAATTGAAAATGAATAAATAAGATCACAGATTAAACGGTAAGGGATGAAATTAATCTCGAAATCTAAGGGGGTGTAACGGATAAATACAACTACATTATCACAATCCATTTTGAAGAATGTAACTAAGCATCTTCAACCAGAAAGCTGACCCCTCTTCAGTACGACTTTGTCAGGTGTCAATGACGTAACAAACGAATTTCCTATTTCGATTTGGTCACCTTTAACCTTATAATAACACATCCCTATGGTATCCAGTAAAGATTATATTCACTGGTCGTAATAAGTGACTGTAAGACATTGAATAACATCAGATTGAAAAAACATAATTTCTCAGACGATAATAAAAATACAATGCTATGTCATAAAGTCTGAACAAATTTTAAACTTACGACTTTGTAGTATGTAGATAATCTTCATATGAAACTCGACCGTCACAATCTTGGTCAAACTCTCTGAAAATAGTACGCAGTAGACCAGATGGTAAAGATGGTAAGTATCTACTCCATATTTTGTGTAAATCATTTATCATAACAAAGTCCTTTGAATCTAGATCTAAACAATCAAATGATAATCTATTGTGTTTGTCAATATGTGGAAGGTTATTCTGAAAATGTTTCTGAAGCATTTGGATAGAAGAAAGAAAACTATTTACAATCAGAAAATAAAGAGTTTACAAACCCGGAAAATGTTAGACCAATTGGCTCACCATCGGGATTTGATTCAAAAAATGATAAAATACATTTCATCTCTTCCTTATTCGGCTTCCTTCCATAAAGTTCGATAAATAACGTTTTACAGCCTTCTCTGTCCACGTAAAATCCATCAGAACAGCTATAATTGCTAAAAACTTTATGCAAGAAACTGGACATATTAATGGAGTGGTTCGGATAAAAGATTTGATAAGGTTCAGCTAGCTGGTAAAGAACAGTTCATGAGGACTTCCTACCAGTCAAACATTATTGTGGGAAAAATCTATAAAATAAAAAGATAGACAGTAATCTAGAGCACTAGTAAACTGAAACACAAGAAGCATAAACATAGAAAATCACTGGCATAATTCTTAACCACTTAAGGAATTATTTAAACATGTTCATGAAATTCGACTTAATATCAATAAAACACACTTATAATATAACTAGAATCGAACGGTTACAGTAAGCAGTCAAGCAGAATAACATTAGATTAGCCTGAGAATATATAAACGAATTCGAGAAGTTCATTCAAATATATAGTGATCCTTTCTTGATGATTTTAGACGTTCTTTCCAGGGACATTTTGGTAGAGATTTTAGTGAGTATTGCAACTACTTTGGTTTTCACAAATTAACAACTTTGCAATACAAGACGAGTTAAATAAATGTATAAGCTTATCACGTCTTACAAACTTCGATAAATCTTTAAAGCCGCATTAAAATGAGTTAGATTGTACCATAAAATACCCCATGTTGTGGCTGACTGGATCAAGAGATTTATATTTTTAGGAACCTTAAAAAAACAATAAACACACGATTTAGATAACTAGCACGCTGCAGTCACTGAAAGATATTGCTTAAACTACAGTTCTGACAATTTTGTCCCGGTTTCTAGATATTATAGTAATATACTGTATAAGCATAATTATAAAAACGTTAGTACTTTGGAAAACACATTTGAATAACTGCTTCAGACTGTACAGTTATGAATATACAAATATTGCACTATAAAAAATATTGAAGTATACATAGGAACATTCTGGTTGGATCGAAGTCTCAAATAATACCATGATGCTTAATTAGTAAGGTTAAAAAAGTTACACAAGAAAAAGTCATAGAAATTACATGGCCTAAGGTAATGAGTCCTAATTAACAAATTAAAATCGTATGTAAAAAGTAGAAATTGTTGTGTCGTGGTAATTGTGATAATGATGATGATAGTAACAATATCTGTTAATAAGTATAATGTGTAAAATTAGAAAGATGAACGTATAATTAGGAATACGACAGTATCATAGGAAAGCATTACAAATCTATTCGTTGATGTGAGGTCAAACCTAATGATAAGTCACTGAAAGGATATGCCTTGAGCCAAATTGAATTATACTGAACGCATGCCACTGAGTTAAAAAAAAGATCCTATAGAGATTATATACCACTGAAGATTTACTTCAAAATCTAAAACATTCATAATCGAAATATGTTCAGGAAGCAAAAAAACAAGGGAAATAAGGTAGGAATCAATCAAATCGAAGGACTAGGTAACCAATCATTTGAACCTGACTTACCTAGCATTTGTAGCTGGTGCGCTTTTAAATTTATTTTTTTAGTTTGAACCTAGTAACCCACCTCAATTTGATTCCTATTCAAAGTTTTGTGATAAGCGTATATATTAGAATCATTTGAAGACAGATTTTTTAGTTAGAAAACTATTTATCCCAACACAGGGTTTAGTAGTATCAACAAATTTCAAGCTTGTTGTATTTTGATGTTGTGTTCAGTCGATGTGCAGTCTGTTACGTTCAAACATGACCCTAGTTTCCAGAATCTTGTCTGATCATTCATCAGAAGGATAATTTTATTTGTTACCATTCTTGTCGAAAAATTACAGTACCTTGTCCCCTGCAGTGACCATAAAGCTTTCATTAGATTCTAATTTTCAGATAACCTTAATTTTCTGAGTAAGCATGCTTCTTATGTGATGTTTGTTGCTTGTAAGCTAATTGCAGCTGTTAATTAATGTGGTTTTGAATCTTTCTAGTTCTAAATTTGTTGACCAAAACCTGTGTCTGGAAAAATAGATTCTTGAACTAAAAGTCTGTCTGTGCATAACTCTTCTCAAACATATTTACACATATTAGAACTAAAGAATGTAAGAGATTGAATTCTCTACTTAAAGCAAAAAATAAAACGTAATTCAAAGTAATGGGGTGAGTAATTAGGTTTAAAATTGTAGTAAATCTTCCTAATGTAAAAAATGAAATACAGTGGTTTCATTTAGTGGGCCAAACACCAGAAAGTGAATTTCCGTCATCTATAAATTATTTAGTTTTCAGTAAAGATGTGTCAGTCTACAAAATATGAGTGAAAGTGGTTGTCAGATGAACTTCAAGTCCGCAAACACTAATTAGTAGATTTTAAACTATCAACCAAAGAACAGTTCATTGGCCGAGTGGGAGCTTATGGCGCAATGTCATCAGAATTGGCTACCTCAAGTGGTGTTCGTCAGGGTTGTCCACTCTCTCCATTCTTGTTTAACTTTGTCGTTGACGTGCTTTTAGAGATAACACTTTCCTCATCTAGATTTCCAGGGGTTGAACTTCTACCGGGAGATTCACTTTTTGACCTAGAATATGCCGACTACATAGTTCTATTTGGTGAAGACTCTGACAAAATGCAGAGTCTTCTGACCATCGTAAGCAACAGTGCAAGCATATTCGAGATGCGATTCTCCCCCCTCGAAATGCAAAATGTTGCTTCAGGATTGGGTTGCATCGACACCCGAACTAATGATAGGGAGTGAAGTTGTTGAGCGTGTCGATCGCTTCACCTATCTTGGAAGTTTCATCAGCCCTTGTGGTCTACCGTGTGACGAAATCTCAGCACGGATACAGAAGGCTCGACTAGCTTTTGCCAACTTGCTTCATTTATGGCGTAGGCGAGATATCCGTCTATCAACCAAAGGACGTGTTTACTGAGCAGCAGTTCGTTCCGTCCTACTTTATGGCAGTGAAACATGGCCGGTAAGAGTAGAGGATATTCGTAGGTTACTAGTATTTGATCATATGTGTCTTCGAAATATTGCTCGTATATCCTGGGACCATGGAGTAAATAATGCAGTTGTTAGGAAACGGGTACTAGGTGAGGATGGCAAATCAACTGATGAAGTAGTGAAACTTCATCAGTTGAGATGGCTGGGACACGTCTTATGTATGCCCAACGACCGACTACCTCGACGTGCTATGTTCAGTGGTATAGGAGTAGGTTGGAAGAAAGCTAGGGGTGGCCAAACCAAAACATGGCACAAGTCCATGAAGTCACTGACAAGTGGACTGAGTCATATTGGTAGGTGTAGACTACCTGGTTGGGGACCGCGAGATGATAGCAACCGATGGTTAGAGACCCTGAATGACATGGCTCAAAATCGTTTGCAATGGCGCAGGTGCATCCACTCTTTGTGTTCTCCCAAATTCTAATCTTCTGAATTCTTCATGTCATTTTCTTTTTTCTCTTTCCAAATTTATTTCACTGGATTATACTCCTTGAATAACATCTTCAAACCCTAATTTTTCTGATTACGGCTTATAGTTTTACTACATCTAGCACTACGGGATTTGGATCGACAACTGTATCTCTGTGCTAATATAGTAATGGCAACTTGAACTGACGTATGTGAGTACGAAGTTCTACTTTGTTGCTGACTGACTGAGAGTCCATTTCTTGTTTGAACTAAAAGCACTTAAGGTAATGGTAAAACATTATGATCACATCTATCGAATTTCCTATACCAATGTACCATAGGTGAAATTTCTTCTCGCTTTTGAATTTGAAGTAATAAATAAATGAGTTTCTTTATTATTTTAGTGACGTATTTCACTCAAGAATCACAAAAGCGAAAGTTCTGCTCACACATGTATGCATGTACCTGTATGTAGTTTCGATAAGGACGTTTTCTAAACCAATTTTATAGTGATATATGGAGCACAATCTGAAGCCATCACAGTCAATACCTAGATCTATGATAGAAGTATCAGGAAGTTCGTTCGAATAACTAAACATTCAGCGGCCATCCGAGTTTGTATGCAATAAAATATGGACGATATCTGATAAACAACGAGGACTTTCGTAAACTATAGAGGCAGAGTTAAACGCATAAACTAATCCAAACTTAAAATTAGTTGTTAATAGCACACATGTCAGTGTATACTACGAATAATCCAGTCGGTAATTAGATGGGGTCGAATGGGTTTACATGAAGGCAAATAAATTAAAGATTTATCCAAACGAAAGCCTAAATTTTTCAAACATTCGTCTTTAAACTCTGCATAGTTTACCCAAGTGAAATATATGGCTGACTAAGCCTTGCGTATCAACAATTTCTCAGGGCCAGATAAATAAAACATGGGTGATGTTCAGTAATTAATGGTTTAAAATTGTTGTGAATGGAACAGATAACGGGGACCGTCTACTGCAACTTTCCACAGACCACAACCTGTTTCTGGCTAGCACTAACTTTCGGCACAGTCATCGCCGATGTGCCACCTGGCGTCCTCCTTCTGCATCTCAAGCCTGGACTCAGATTGATCACATCGTGATCAGCTACCGCTGGCGTGGTTGTGTACAAGACTGCCGCTCCTTTTGGAGTACCTATCTGGACTCTGACCATGCATTGGTCTGCGCCAATCTTACCTTACTTTTCAGTGGACAACGAAGTGATGGCCACCAAAGGCTTAATGTCAGCAAGTTGGTTGCAACTTCTGTTGCAAGTAAGTATCGAACCGAGCTAGCTGCTAGGCTAGCTACCGTTCCACCGAAAAGTATAGATGAGCATTGGTCACAATTGCATGACGCCATGAAAATGGCGGGTACAGTCAGTTGTGGGTTCGCGAAACTTCCCGCTTATAATCACTGGGTTTCTTCAGGCTCCTTATAACTAATCGAAGCCCGTCGGTCTACTCCGGGTGACTGTGCGTTTGACCACAAACGACGACTGTTACGTAATGAAATTGGGCAAAGCTTGCGTAAGGACCGAGAGGCCTGGTGGTCGGAGCGTGCTTATGAACTGGAAGCAGCAGCTGCATCTGGTAACTGCCGGAAGCCCTTCCAACTCATTCGAGCCACTAGCAGCAAGAAGTCTGGTGTGAGTGAAACAATCTGCGAGGATGATGGGATGCCAATCACTAACATCCATCGACGTCTTGGACGATGGGCAGAATTTTTCGAAGGGCAGTTCAACTGGCCTGCTGCTCCGGCAACATCGGTCAGACTGTCCTGCCCTCCACGGCCGGTGACGACTGGTCCACTAAACGAGGAGGAAGTCCGCAAGGAACTCCAACTCTTGAAGCGTTACAAATCACCTGGCCCAGATGACTTATCTCCGGCTCTTTTTAAAGATGGTGGTGACTTTTTGACTAAGGAATTGACGACGTTGTTTACAAAGGTTTGGGAACTAGAGAGTGTACCAACGTCATGGAATAAGTCGATAGTTGTCCCTATCTTCAAAACGGGTTCACGTCGTTCCTGTAACAACTATCGGGGATAAGTCTACTTCCGATCGCGTCTAAGCTATTGGCTTCCGTCATACTTCGTAGGTTGTTCAAAACCTGAGAAAGATTGACTCGCGAGGAGCAGGCTGGGTTTCGTTCGGGTCGAGGATGTATTGATCATATCTTCACCCTTCGCCAAATGTTAGAACACCGTCATACTTATCACAGGCCAACAATCGTAGTGCTGATTGACATCAGGGCTGCCTTCGATTCGTTGGATAGGACTGTTCTCTGGGATTGTCTATTGAAGAAGGGTGTGCCTGAGAAGTTTATTAACATCCTAAAAGCCCTATATACAAACACCTCAGGCAGAGTGAGAGCATACAACCACCCCTCTCCATTGTTCCATTCGAGTAGTGGGGTTAGGCAGGGTTGCCCAATCTCATCATTCCTCTTCAACTTTGCCATCGATGACATTCTGGAAACAGCTGTGATGGATGTAAGTAATGGTGGTGTGCATCTGTTGTCTGGAGAAAGACTTCTCGACCTTGAGTATGCTGATGATATTGTCTTACTGTGCGATAATGCCCAAGGCATGCAATCCGCACTTAATCAGTTGGCAATCAGTGTCCGTAGGTATGGTATGTGCTTTGCACCTTCGAAGTGCAAAGTACTTCTACAAGACTGGCAGGATTCCAATCCTGTCCTCACCCTGGATGGTGAGCAGATAGACGTAGTCGAGAAGTTCGTGTATCTGGGTAGCTGCATAAGTGCTGGTGGGGATGTGAGTGATGAGATCAGTGCGTGTATGGTGAAAGCCAGAGTGGCTTATGCCAATCTGGGCCACCTTTGGCGCCTTCGTGATGTTAGTCTGGCTGTGAAAGGTCGGATCTACAACGCGTCGGTGAGAGCAGTTCTGCTCTATGCTTGTGAAACCTGGCCTCTCCGAGTTGAGGACGTTAGACGACTCTCTGTGTTCGATCATCGCTGTCTCCGAAGGATTGCTGACATCCAGTGGCAATACCATGTCGGTAATGCAGAGATTCGGCATCGTGTGTTCGGGCACAGAGACGACAATTCAATTGGTGTCACCATCTTGAAACACCGACTTCGGTGGTTTGGATTTGTTCTCCGAATGTCGTCCCAGAGAATTCCACGTCGTGCATTATTTGCCGACTCTGGGACTGGTTGGAAGAAGCGGAGAGATGGTCAGTGCATGACATGGTGTCGCGGTATGAAAGAAAGCTGCAAAGGACTGGCTTCTGTTGGTCCTTCACGACTCCCTGGTTGGGGTCCGAGAGATGGTGCTACACAGTGGCTAGAGACGTTATCAAATATGTCTCAAAATAGAATCCGGTGGCTATCCTGCTGTAACCTTCTTTTACTTTCTTCATAAAAAGTGGTTGTGTCTCCCTTACCTGAAAGATTTCTTCTGATTGTATTTTTCCATTCCCTCATTTCTACCATACTACCTTACACCAATCTCCTCGTTATTGTTCTCTTTTGTTTTGCGCCTCTTAGCTTTTTTTTCTATTTCTATTCGAATTCTCATTGTTTTGTGTGGCGCATATATATTGGAGCTCTCTTGTACCAATATTTATGTGTTCAAATAAATAAAGAAAATAATAAAGAATTGCCAATGAAAGACCAAATACTCTCGATGAGTCTAGCATCAGGCAAGAACGAAACTGTATGTGCCACCGCTAATAGTGCATATTTGGACGTACTAAGAATCAAAAGTTCTCGATTATCGCGATTAAAATTAACACCAGTCCTAAATTTCAGTTATCCGTAGGAGCCTCATAGACAAATGTTTATAGTCTAAAAAGATCATGAGTTCCTAGCATTACTGGATGGATTAAAACGTCTCATTATAGCCGTGACTGAAACTTGTTTAGTGCATAATTTTGGCATTATTTCTGAACTATTAAGTTATAGCTTACTGAGGATTGGTAGGGAGTAGGGTGGTAATATAATTAAACGTAATAGGGATATATGTTTCTTTGCTTGAGTGTCATGGAGGAAGAAATCGTGAGGCAAAGAGTTGTAAACGCACTTTTACAGATTTTATATTTATTCTAGGTCCCATCAATCGTACGTAGGCTAATCCGCTCTATTCATGACTTGTATTGAGAAAAAATAAGTCCTGAATTAAATATAGGCGCCTGACATTGAGGGACACTGATGCAACGGACATCAGTTGGAAAGATTTGTCCTCAGTCGGATCTGATTGTATCTTTGATACAGGCTTCTTCAAAATTTCGTGGAGCGTGGTTTAGTGAAGTATGAGGCCAGACGCACATTTTCCGAACAAAAATCTTCTTTCCTTAATTTAGCGCCCGCACATTAAAGTTTGAAAATTGTATCACAACTTACAAAGAGTGATTAGATAGTTCTGTTATTTTAGGATTAAGTCCTATGATAGACTGTGACTAAACTTAACATTGTTCGAACATACATTTTATCGATTAAATATTGCCCTACTCCAATGTTCTGTGTGACTGACGTTAACTCTTTTAGTGAAGAGTGTGGTTTAACTTTTAATATCCTCTATTATACAATGGACGAACCCACGTAAATTGAATAACGGTTTGTCATTTACAAGGAAATAGACCATAGAACTTCTTAGGCGTAAATGTGTGCATCAAAATATATTCATCTGCGCAGTCACTGAGCTATATAGATTCGTTTATTGTAAAACTTGTAAATAATGACTAGGCTCTCAGCATCATCAGTTGGAAATATTTAACAGAAGTGACTTGACGACACTTCATCCCTACTAGTCTTTAACCACTATGAGCAGTAGAACCCACAACTAAAAGGCGGAAATGCATCACTTATTTTATACAGGAGGACAAGCTTCTGATACTGCACTACATTTCTACAATAACAAATATCTGTCCTCCTGCAAACTGTACGCGTCCACATTGCAAATGACTGTAATCCAAAAAAAGTGCGAGGTTTACGTACGTATATGAGGAAAGTTTCTTAGTTCAGACGAGATACTTATGAGTATCTCGCTTGTGAACTTGAACCATACATATCCAGTATTTCAAAACACTGGCTTACTTGTTTCTTCTAAAACAACTTGGTTTTACTTGTTAATGTCGTGCTTTTCTATTTTCTACTTATTCGAAGAATAATCGCTGGAGAAATTAAAATATACGTTTTCAGCCTGATAAGTAGTCAACTAAAAGAAAATATTCAACAATACATAGCTATTTCACCAAGTAGTAATCCTCAAACTAAACAACCCCCAGCTTACTGTTACCAACGTTACAGCACACAATTTCATAAGAGAGGAAATCCTTAAAACTCTCTCAAGGTCACGGTGCAATATTCAATATAATAGTGGTAAACCCCAGTCTCCCTGACCAGAGATAAAAGAATTTTAACTCTGAAATTTCGAAGCCCGAGTTGCAGAAAAATATTCTTGCGTAAGAAAGACATACCAGTGAACGATTCGATCAGTTATCTGGAAATACTGTTAGATATACATATTCTCAGTTCATTTGGATTCTAGCTAACTGAAACTGTCCAATTAAATGTACTGATTCGGCCAATCGATCAAATCAAAGGTCCTTTCATCTTGCCGTGTCTCTAGTTTTACGGTACGATCACTTTACCAAGCTAAATTAACAGAATGTTATATAACGACTGAAAGAGAAAATACAGATGTATTCCTACGTTTCGTATGTGTAAAAAGCACGTCGGAATTATTTGAAAGTAAAAACCAGAGTAAAATATCACCACTTTTGCAGGAATGAATTCTACGTTTTATCTCCTCGTAATATGAAATATCCAAGGGATGTATACTCGACATTGTCACGTCAAATAAGTGAGAACTAAGATCATATAGTCAACGAATCTATCATGTAATGATGTAATTTTTAGCAAAAATAAGTTTATGCCGTGAGTTTTTATTCATCAATATCAGATTGTATTACAGTAAACAAGCGCATTACATGATGGAATTATATCCTAAGAATTAGAAAAATCAATAGTAATTGTGGTTGTTTCGAATCAGACCGTCAGTGAAATATAGTAAAAGGTTTAAAGCTAAGTGTAGTTCAATAAACCACGTTATGACGTAAAATGGTTGTAAACTCCAGTCTCGAAAAACATCGTTTATGCTTTTTTGGTACGTTTTATTAGCTTAAAGCTTGCTTAAGGAGTTTAAAGACTTAATTACCTAAAGTCGGCCACCTGAAGTTACATGCCGTTTCAAAGGAGTTATAAAATACGACAACCATTTTGTTTAGTAAATTGTCTGTCGTAAAATTTATTTTAGTCAATACAATAATCGCACTTGCAATATTTAATGCGGCACATAAAATTAACAACTTGAGTCGCTTTATTATCGGCAGTGTACTTGAGCGTCAAATTTAGGAAACGATCAGTGTGAGATATTTCAGTGTAACTAGCTGCCATAAGCTAAAGCTTAGAATTTCTGCACTACAGCAAGAATCAGGCATCTGTTTATAATACGTCATATTTGTTATATTTGCTGGGCCTTTGAAATCTTAGCAAGCCCTGACCAAATCTTCCGGCAGGTCTTTCGTGCCTTAAGGTAACCCTCGAGCTATTGATAGAAGAAACCAGACAAGTAGTGAATATGTCATTATTTCGATCTTCGCGCAGTCACAGTGGAGCGTGAGATTATTTGTTCAGACGAACAAAGCCTCTCAAAAGTCAACATAAGATAATAGGAAATATAACGCCTATGCAAAATAAGGAAGTGAATGAATACTTGACCTGTACTGTTTTGGTATATGCTTGGTTGTTTGAGGTCAGTTCTTAACTAACCAACCTATGCCGTTACAGGTCACTGAATATCGAACTGATCATCGATCTCTATCAAGGTTCAAGGATGACCAGTGCGCATCAGTTAATCGTTCACCATGGACTGTTAATCTTACTTTTTCTGGTATCAAATTCAACTAATATATCTATATAATAACGTCCTTTGCGTTGTACAGTCTTCAAAGCATCTGTAGTACCACGTAAGGTGGTGACCGCAAGGGGTGAATTCGACGTTAGCTAGTTCGTCACACCATTCCCGTCTTACTTTAGTAGGCCCTCACTCATTCGACATAGATGATCTACGCTGGCGATCTACAAGTTCCCTCTCTCCTTATCATCTCGCTAATACGTTTCCTCGATCAGCTACATGTAGCACAGCGGTGATCTGTACCTGTAATAACACCTTAACGTTTACTGAAAACGACAAACTGTAGCAAATCTCATGTAAGCATCCCTTAAATGAAAATACTGATCCAAAACAGTCCAATTACAAATACGACAAAAATTCCTTGGATGCTACCGTTGTTGAGCATCATGTATAGTGTTTAGTTTGAAAGAATGCGATAAATACGTCTGGTGTGCGGTTGTAGACTATACGTTCGAGTTTGACTATACCTTAGGAGCATAGATATTAGATATTTTCCTAAGAGTTAACGTAAAAATCTAGGTAGCCAACTAGCTGTTTTTGATCCCTGGAAAAGAGCAGCATACTGTTCTGGGAGAGAAATGTTCAATTTCTTAATTACATGTGACCTGCTTTGGGTAAACATTGAAAGTTAACTTAAATATAGGCAACGCTATTTTATCAGACACCAAGTCTTCAGTATTTATTGCCGTAAAACGAGACAGATATACATTATGATACGTGAAGAGAAGCAAACAAATCAGCTGTTCAATACTGTATTTTGCATATACATTGTACAGATCGTAAGGGTGGTATAATCTATAACTGATGTGTGTGAAGCTGTTGTTAAACCAAAGTTGCATGAATTCTACTTTGCTTAAGGACATTTTATTTCATTTGTCTGTCTACTTATTCCACGTGCATATGTACGTGCACTTATTTATTTTCTTATTTGTAATATAAAAACAGTCAATTATTTTTCGTTGGTAATTCCATACTATTGACCAAAACTAGTACTATTTATTGGTGTAGAATGGAACAGGAGTGATTACCCAGAGTACTTCATCGATAAAATCATATTTTTGTCGAACGATTTACCGAAGACTTTAGTAAAAGCTTCTTATCCACAGTTCATAAAAGCAGGCTGAACGTACACTATGAACTTCGCGACGGTTTCTAATGTTTGTAATTTGCCTGTTTCACCCTTCAGTTTGAGAAAAAATAAGAGCCAAAACATGTCAGCATTGTCAATCTGAAAGTTGCAAATACAAACCTGGTGTAAATGCTGATTTGATATACTTTTATTGATGAAAATGTCTTCTTGTAATTTCGTAAGTCTGATTCTTCATTCACTTGCCAAGGTAACTGTCGAAAGAAATCCATGAAATACGAACTTCGTGGTAGCTAGTTCACTTGTAACAAGTGACACTTAATAGTAATATACTACTCATTTCAGTTCTTTTTGTGAAGAATCTGTAGAATTACGGTCTAATTCGTTATTAACATGCTCGGCTTCAAAGGTTGTGTGGTTAGGGTCCGATACCACTACAAACCTGCAAACATGGGGTCGCGTATAGATTTCTAAACGAAACAGCTCGTTGAGCCCTTAGCATTCACACAACCTACTCCGACAATTATGGTGCGCCACGGTAGCAGGTGGAAAGATATGCATAATACATATCCTACCAACCTCTTTCGATGAAATTATCACCTTATTGAAATGCTCTGCACCTAATTTCACAGCTGCCAACTCGAGCACACCCTAACATGTGAGCAATGTCTACGATGGAGTACTAGTAAACTAAGGGCAGAGTACACTACAACGATCTACGCGTTCGTTTGGCTTCCAAATGAACATACGTTGACAGTTCTATTAAACCTGTGTTTACTGTTGGTAAGTATGTTCTTGCCAAATACAATTTAGTAGTTTTGTTCTTCTAAAGCAGAATATATAACACTTTGGAAATTTGTGAAAAATGCTAATACACTAAGTGCACAATGAGCGGTTAGCCGTTATTGATTACCTGAAATTTAGAACAGGAGTGTTAACTTAGCATGTGCATGAAGTGTATGTATGAAAAGAAGTAGTGATTGTCTAAGGAATGGTGTTAGTTTTGAGCTGAATATTGTTAAAAACAGCAGCTTTTCAGGACGTAATAACGAATGAAATGGTATAAAAGTTTTCGAATTTCTAATTCAAAATGAGTCAAGCTGAAGTCTCTAGGTTGTCACACACTACGGTAAACTTGAGCCATTTTTTTGATTCACTACAAATGAACTTCTGGGACTAGGCAACTCAGACTTCTGCCGGATACGTTTTCACGCATGTATGATTGTGGACCATCTTAGATGAATATATTATGTGATAAGTAACATCCTACTGGTGTTCGATGTCCATGAAAGCTACTCAAAACAACACGGTTTAATGTTTTGTCTCATGAAACACGTAAGAATCTCAGACGGAATACACTGACCTGGGTAGTACTACTGTTAGTAGTTGTAGTAACAGCTGTAGAAACCCAGAAATAGACGTATCCGAAAAAATTAACAAACATTTGGGCCATCACACGAATTACGAGACTTCTGAAGAGAGGTTTATGGGCTAATTTGGTTATTTGTTATAACCGATCTACAGCATGACATGTAAAACTGTTGTATAGACGGGATACCGAAATCCCACATATGTGGTGTTCAGTAAAAATAATTGAGGTCAGTATCAATATCAAAGACTTCTGATGACTCACTTGAGGCCGTCTTGGAAAATAAAGAAATACTACAGTTGACTTTAATTTATTTATTTCTTGATGGACAACATTAAAAGGTATCCCGTATACAGTCTTTTGGCGTCTGTATAATGGGCCACAACGTATGAAAACATGTATGCTGGATCGTAAGTCAGGTTACATGAAGACATCGATCGAGTGTTGCAGAGTGGGACCAGTTTTATCTGAACTCATCGCATGTGTATCCCGATTGATTAGGTTGTGCAGAAGTATCGGCTCCCAACCACACGATCACTGAAGTTGAATACAAGATAACTGAGAAAATTCACATCCAACATCTAACACAGAGTAGTTTAGCAATGATGAAAGGGAGAATAAAGTATTGGTATAGCATGTCTCAACTTTGCAGGCACGGTCATTCTGTGCAACGCATCCCAGTTCACATGAAATATATTTTTCTGTCTACAACCCAAATAAGTTCCTCAGAAGTGCTGAACATCAAACTGCTGATGATCACATAGGACGAATCAGTAGAGACTGTAATTTTAATTCCGCGTAAGATCTCATAGATTAGATAGTCGCATCATGTTGAAACGGCAAGACTGTTAATTGAACTGAGTAATATAAGCAAAGGGATGCAACTTTGTATACATCCAGTCAGTGGTTAGAGACGTTTGATGAAATGT